AGTCATACTTTGATGGGGTTTTTATTACCAAAACAGTCAGTTTTGTTATCTAAATATAGTAACAATAAATTGCCCAAAATTTAAAGCAAGGACAAATTTCATAATTGGCGTTCATTCTATGAACATAACTTAAGTTATTTTTTAAGAAGTTAAAGTCTTTCTGCGATAAAAAGTCTACATTCTAAGAAAAAGCTTTTGTTTGTATAAAGTTTTGTACGTAGAATACATTACGTTCACCAAAGTTATGTTAAGGCGCTGGAATCTAATTTATTAAAAGTACAAAGGGAGGGGTTTTTAAGTGTTTAAGAACGGTTAATTGTGTAAGGGTATCTGAATGAATTCACATGATCCAATAAGCGAGAAGTAGATGACGAAAATGACATGGGTCAAAAAGTTTTGAAAATAATAGTATTAAAATTACATGGTTACATTAAAAATTTGCGTAAAAACGGGTCACTGTTATGATTCAAGACGCCTCCTTTGAGCCGGCTAAAATGGTCTAGATTTTGAAATAACACGACTATCCTATAGATGATATACGCCTTAATGTCTATTAACTTCTAATTATATTATTTTTGTATCAATTTCAAAAGTTGAATACCTATCGGAATCGTTTGAAATTAAAATGAATAGAAACTGATTTTGTTTTTAATTTAAGGAAACCTCATAACAACCTTTGAGCCCGCATATCAGTGATTCAAGAGTTGTGAAGATAACTCTCTATATAAATTACAGGTTCTAACGGGAGCTGATTCTGAAACGAGTACATCTGCAATATTATTATAAAAATAGCTTCCATAGAACTAAGTTTCAACCGCAAATTCCAATTAACATTTTTTAAATACTTGATGTTTATATCTCTCGATGTTATACAATATTTTCCCTGAAAGGCGTCCTTTAATACATCACAGAAAACACCGCCAGTGAATTCTCTTTACTCTATTGCCTTATAAATGTTGAAGTATTTTTCAATATGTTGATACACCGGAGAATGTATGGATGATTAGATTACGTATGTAAAAACCTGACTTACATATTTTGTATAGATATAATTACGTACTGTTTTTGTAAACTCCTCGTGCGGACCCTTAACCGACAGATAGGGGTGATGTCGGGCTATAGTTATTTCATAAGTATTTCATACATTACTCATCCAGAGGATACAACTTAAACCAAGCATATTAATGTGTGAAGAAAAATAACAGCCAGATATTACATAAACCTTGGTTAACTCCGTCCACTTCTGCTGTTGATGATGTCACATTACTGTGTTTCGTTCGCGGAAAATGTTTTTTCTGTGAATGGTTAATAAATATTTCATACATCCGTCATATCAGAGGATATAAATTAAATTTCAAAGCATATTAATGTGTAAATAAAAATGGCAGACATTATACAGACGAAACATAGCTTACATAAGTCACTCTAAAGCGCTTTACAGTACATAAATATACAATTGATACAATTAGCATATACATTAATCAATACAATTTGAGGGATTCACAGGAGCTGCCTTACCAGGCGCTAACTACTAGTCCCATGCCACCTGGCTAATATCTCCCTTTGTGTGTATGCCTGCGTGTGTTCTGGAGATGTATTGAGTTCTGTTTTGTAGTGGGACCGTGCTTCCAACGGCATCTTTTATAGTGCCACCTCGCTTGAATGCTACAGCACAGATACCGCGACATCCACCCAGACCATTTTATATTCCACCTGGGTTGTTGGAGTTGTGTGGGCAGGAGAAAAACACTTTCTCTGATATCCCACATGTGTACGACGACTTCGAGGATTTTATAGATATATTTTTTTCGGCTAATAGAGAATATATGAAATTCCTTTCTCCCCAAATAACATGTAAGTGATGTAAAGTGATAAACTGTACACATGTGTTTAACGTGTCATTAAACGTGTCCCGTAAATGTTGTCCAGGCGTCTCTCTCCTGACGTCTGACCTGTAGCATATTACATCATGTACATGTAATATTACACGTAGGTTTAACATTGTCAGTGCTATAAAACATAATCACGCATCACTTTGTTTGGTACACACACCTGACGTGTTTAGAACACACACCTGACGTGTTCTTCCTGCCCTCTGGTTACCAAAAACTGTTACACGAGAGCGGCTATGCTTTACACAGGGGATGTACCTTTCACAATAACATCGGTGTATATCAACTAATTTTACTGTATATATATATGATATATGTGTTTTGTACGTCGTGATCCCGTATATAAACTAAGTACATCTGTACTACAGGTTCTTGTTGCGATGACTATTTAGATGACGAGGCAGGTAGGGACACCTCGAGTGTCCTCGATATAAACACTTCATTCCCAAATATTGTAATAAGCATACCAATACAATACATAAGACCTACACATTAGTTCAGTACCGTTGTTCCCACTTTCATTGTGTCAGTATTTATACTATTCATTATTACCACATTGGACCCCACACTTACCCTACTTCTCTGGCTTTCCGTTCTGCTAAAAATATCTGAAAGAGAGCTGCTTCTTTGTTTTAAAGTGTAGTCTGAATACATCTTGTTTGTGGCTCTGAGTAAAGGAAGATGAATTATGGCAATCTCTGGTCCTAAAACCATCCTACAGCAAGTCCAAAGTGCTTTGATGATCCAAGGCACCACCATCATTTTTCACACGTTCGTGTTTCTGTTCAGTGGCCTGGTCAATTGTCATTAGCAAATGGTCTTCCCTGCAACAGCCTTGCTAGTCTGGAATTATAATCAAACTTCTGGACATACTGCTTTAAGATATACCATGTCGCTATACAAATGTCAGGGTGTATTATTTTGAAGGTCAGTGGTGTTGACCAGTACTAAATTGTTGTACTTTCAACAATTCTTTGTTCAATACTTCGTCATAGAGGTAAGATGCACATTCCACATCCTGGTACTCTTAAAACACGTGCTAAGTAAGACTGCATGCAATAACCTGCCCGAGGTGCATGTCGCATATCACCAACTTACAGCTGTAACGTAGGTCAACACAACTTTTCTGTGCCTTTTCCTTCCAACAAGATCAGTCAAAATCACCTACTACATTGTATAATCAAACATGTCATAAGTATCGTACCGCGAAATATGGCTTTAGTGAAACCTGGAAAAATTACAGTAATACTCTTGTACCAGCTGTTGTTTACCCTGACAAAGATATTGCAGACAAACTTGTGGTACTACTTGGAGTTACTCTACAATGTATTGAAGGGCAACAATGCAGATTGTTGGAGACTGAATAGAAGACAATTGTTGTGATGGGCCAATCACAGATCCCGGAGCACTGTAGAATCTACTGGGACTGCCGGTCTTTGTTAAAAGCATCCCAGGTGTATCGACAAGAACCGGTGAATTTATAAATTAATCTCTTAACGGACAAAGAAAAGACAGAACAATGACTTTGATTTAAGCAGGGAATATCTTGGGACAAGCAGTGCATGCTGTGTCTGAGTGACAGACGTATACATCTGCCCCTATACGTCCCTGACCTTTTTAATAGACAAGCAGCTAGGAACATGTATGAACATTTCCAGAGGGAGTTACATATATGTAACCCCTGTCAGAAGATGGTCAGATTGGCACGCCATTCTGACAAAGGTCGTAAAGGAGCACGCCGCTAAAGTGTAATTAACAATCTGACATGTATCGAATTATACAAGTGTGATAATTATTTTATGTGTGCTCTTTGGTTCATTCGATCGACAACTTTGACAAGTTAAGGACGTACCATGTCACTCGGTACGACCAGGTGTTACTCTATTACCATAATTAAGTTGTGTGATGTGAATTTGCTGTTATGTACACAAAACAATCGACGTTAAAGAGTTGGTCATGTGTATTGCGTGTTTGTAGCCGTCGCAATTTCTTGCAATGAGTACGTCCCTAGTAAGCAATTTAATCGTAGAAATATTTACTATCGCCAATTGCCTTATGATGAGATTGCGCTACATCAAAATGACTGAATATATACAAGACGGAACTGGTAATGAATATTTTGACATGTTTTTACTAATGCATATTTTAATGCTGTAATAGTGTTTTGTATGCTAAGTGATTATGGTTAGAATCATAAAAAGAATTATTTGCTCACTGAATTTGATTGAAATCAATTAAAACTTCGTACCAGGAGTAATTCAGTATGACATTTGTTCTTGGTGTTTAAAAGCATTGATATATGTATGGTTTAAAAAGGAAACAATTGAAATACAGTGATTCTGTCAAGGCCTTACTATTTCTATGTTTAGATATAGAAAGAGTTACATCCTAAATATACAAAGGTGATATAACTTGTCTGTTAAACCGCCTCAGACGAGTGCATTGGGAACCTAATCAGACAGAAACCTTAGCTTTACCGACTCTTCATTTGTGAAAGTTACATGTGTCTCTTTAATTTGATTTCACATGTGATATTTACTGAGACGAAGAGTGAAAAAAACGATACGTTTTCTTGTCGATTCCATACGCAGAATGCTCTTAATATTGACTGTAATACCGTGAAATTATGTAAACTATTTAATTTGTAATGAAACCAGATTGTCGAAAGATATTAGTTATCAGATATATATAAGCATATGCTAATTTCTTACATTCAGTTAGACTTATCCGATACCCACGTGGTTATCCGATACCCACGTTGTTTAAGGACACGTACGGAATCAAACGGTACCGCAATGTAGTATTGTTAACATTATGTTCAACAACATTCGCAAAGTTGCTTGGTAAGCTATAGGCTGTTTGTCGACACCTTTATTTTTTCGGTCAAAGGGCATTTAAGTTCGAATCCTTCAACTTGATTTGCGGTGGTTTCCGCTCTATTTCTAAGGTTTTTTCTAACTTCATTTTCAGCGAAAATATTAAGGCAGAAGGTGACAGACACCTACCTTTGCTGGTCATTAAGTCACATGTGAAAGTCATTCGGGGTCAAATCTCCCAATGTTTGCTCTATTGCTTCATTATGTTAATGTGAAACTCTTTCTCCTATAGTGAAAAGTGTCCAAGTGACCCGGCCTGCATGGACCAGAATGGGGAAGCGGATGGAGGGAAGGAGAACGGAGCGGCCCCGGCGCATGTGGTGCTCTCAACGGAGGGGATGGACATGGAGGAGTCTGCACAGGAACACCACCCGCCGATGGAGACACTCATCTACAAAATTCGTGACAATCCTCCCATGCACCTAACTATTCTCTTCGCTTTTCAGGTAAGCACCAATTCCGCTTCCGGTTGTGATACTTGTTAGACTATGCGCATCAAACATGTGTTTCGTTTGAGATTGTACATATTGTTTGGATGAGGGGTACTTGTAGCGACGTTTTCTACGTTGCTCTGGTAGAATCTGATCTCTGTCAATGATAATGTTTCTGTATACTTCACAGTATACCTAATGCATAAGAGAGATCGGAATCGGGGCTCTAAAGACTGTATATTCATGACCAGACTGCTTGTTTGAGCACTGGATATGATAGACAGACAGGGGACGTACTTTTCTGTAGATCCCTGTAACTTCGTACTTTTTGACAGATCAAATACAGAAGAGTGCAATCGTTTTGTCGAGAGTTTTGATTGCATGTCGTAATCAAGAGTACCCCTTATATTGTTACGTCATAAATTGGTATCTTCACTATCTTGCATTTCACGACAGCGAAGATTAGCAGAATCTAGCCCTTTATGTGATGTAGGCAGCGCAACACTTTGTTAGGGTTTCTGAAGTTCAGCACGAGGCTTTGCAAAATGCTTAACTTCGGAAAACTTGTCCAATGCACCGCGCCGTCATCCGTGCCGTCATCAAAGGCGCAAGAAGAATGTCACGCATGACGCCACATGTACCTGCAATGGTGACCTTTCATAATTATGGCGCGTATAAACTGTCTTTCTCTAAAAACGTAAAGACAAATGTATCTTTTACCTTTTAAAAACAGAAAAAAACATTTGATCTGTGAAGTGTTGAAGGAATCATTTGTGGTTACTAATCTAAAAACCTGTTTAATCCGTTAATATTCAATGAATGAAATGAGCTAGGCCTTTATACTATACATAGATTCAAACTCGACAGCCAATGCCTCTCTGAAACTGTTTATATCGATTTAATGCGAGTGTTTTTAACATATCATATAGTGATAAATTAAGTAGCATGCCAAGAAACTTGATTTATAAATTGAGGCTAACACTTACATCGTCTGGGAGTAACGACGGCATGAGTAGTGTCGCCTTGTGCCTTACAAAGGTCTGTTTGATAGACACTGTTAAGACACTGGTTAATTGGTTTAAGTTGAATGTCGGTCAAACTTATCAACTATTACAGGACCATTTCCTTCCTTAATCTTCTTTATTACACAACCGGAGAATAGACAATTTTTGCACATAATTTATACTTATTTATGTTAGTGTTGTCTCATGTTTTTAAATGTATGTTTGTGTGCAAATTTGTTTATTTATGTTATAATTTTTGTGTAGATGAATGTATATATATATGTGTGTGTATGTTTGTATACACTTTATTATATGTACATGTAGTGTGTAAGTAAGTGTTCGTCCTTTATGTTAGGTTCAAATGTTTTATTATCTCAACTAAATTTACTAAATTTATGAAATATGATGAAAGAAAGAGACAGAAAGATGGATGTGAAACTAAAACCCTCCTATGAGACAACAATACATTGTAAAGGGGGAAGATCCCAGGGCTCCTCAACCCTGGCTTCCTCCGTAAACACTTGCCGAGGAAATAAAATATTTGAACCTGAAAAAAAAAAAAAAAAAAAAAAACTATTACGGGACAGCAAGATCTTCATAATCAAGTAATGTGTTTGTAATTTTCTATTTTTAGACAAGATATTGTAAATGTATTATTTAGTGACCGGGCGGTCATTGGATAACGCATTCCTCTTCGATTCTCCGATCAGACGTGAAAGGTAACGGGTCACCTGTCCGACCACGTGGGTTTTCTCTGAGTAATCTGGTTTGCTGCAACATGTATGGTGACTGATTGTATATGGTTGCTGAGTAGTGCCATTTCGTCTCTTCCTTGTTTCGCGTTACACGAGGACAAGGAACTATATTAACTGTCCCGTCGCCTTCGTGTTTCACGGGGTGAAGGGAGATATTTAGCTCTCCTATTCACACTGCAACATGAAGGCGACGCAACAATTAGTATCGTTCCGTCACCTTTTGTTTAACGCAAAACAACGAGGTGCCGAACCGACACAATTCAGCATCAAATCAGTCACCATATATAACGTTGTTGTACTTTCTTTGGCTTTGACTAGCTTGTGGCTGTCAAATGGAGCGATAATGAGGGGAGATAACTATGTATTGTTGACCTTGCAGCAAGCCCTACTTTCCCTGGCGAACCAGTTGGCGTTGTCCCTGATGGTGGCACAGGCAGTATGTGGTGATAATAGCGCGTGGTTCAAAACCCAGCTTCTCAGCTCGACGCTGTTCATGGATGGCATTACGACTATACTTATGGTTTTATTCGGCGTCAGGTAGGTCATTAAAATGGATGTGTTTGTAAGGTAGGTCATTAAAATGGATGTGTTTGTAAGGTAGGTCATTAAAATGAATGTGTTTGTAAGGTAGGTCATTAAAATGGATGTGTTTGTAAAAATATTCGAACAATTTGATGTCACAGTTGACCCAAAAGGTAAACTGAGTTTATTGTATTGTTCCGGTCTTGATCACACCTGTCGTCAGAAACATAAACATAAATGTTCATACCGGTATGATACTGACCTTGACGACGTGCACACCTGTTTGATACCGACCTGGACCACGTGTACGCCTGTCTAATACTGTCCTTGACATCGTGCACGCCTGTTTGATACGTGTACGCCTGTCTAATACAGACCTGCACGCCTGTCTGATACCACGTGTAGGCCTGTCTAATACCGACCTCGATGACGTTCACACCTGTCTGATACCGTCCGGACCACATGCACGCAGTCTGATAACGGCTTGGACCACGTGCATGCAGTCTGATAAGCCATGGACCACTTGCTTGCCTGTCTGAAACCGGTGTGAACTAAGTGTATGCCTGTATGATACCAGCCTGGACCACGTGCAAGCCTGTCTGATACCGGCCAGGTCCACGTGCAAGCCTGTCTGATACCGGCCAGGTCCATGTGAACGCAATCTTATAACAGCTTTGACCATGTGCATGCCTGTCTGTTACCGTTTTTGTCAGCATACAAACTGTCTTATTACGGTTTGCACGTTTGTCTGATACCGGCCGAACCGAATACACGCAATCGGATATCGGCTTAGACCACGTGCACACTGAGCTGTCTCATAACGGCGTTGACAACTTGAAATCGTCTGTTGGACACCGCTCTTGTTTACCCAGGAATATAGCCGCGTGGGCCTGACCGCTTGAGTTCGATAACAGTCTGGATCACACCGTTTGTTCCACTAATGTCAGTTTGTTTACTAGATCACTGCAGGAATGAGAATTCAATTTTACAGCCTGTGGTGACATCGGAAATTTAATGGATTTCTGATTTTTACACTCGCTGACCACGAAGCTAAAGTCGATCCTTGATAATGCAATATTCTACAACCGGAAATGGTGGGAAACGCTCATTGGTTGTCGCGCAAATTGCGGAAGCAATATACGCATATTTGTTTCAAGGTGTTGACTTTGGATGGTTGTTTTGACTGGCCGTATACGTCTTCTTTCGGTAAAGTGCAGCTGCACCAGATGGCTTGTAAAAGATATCTTTTTCATGTAATGGCGCCTTTCATTACAGAACATGTTTCGTGGATAATTGATTGGATAAACTATTTTACACGGCAACTGTACGAGGTGATGGCTTCTAAGTGTTGATAAATATAGTCACTTTATACAGAACGTCTGAACGGAGATTAACGCTCTTACTGTTCATTGCACCCTATATAACAGGAAAGCTAAACATAGAATGATGATAAAAAGTCGTTTATTTTGTCAGCCGTCCCAGCGTTAACAATTATTCAGGCGCTAGTGTCAACACAACAACGATTTAGACTGTTGTTAGGTCGAGGACCTAATTAATAAACGACTCCGTTCTAGTCCGCAGACATTTTACTTGGTGGCGACCCGTACTAGTTAGTCAGCAAACATTTTAGTTGGTGGCGACCACGCACTAGTCAGCAGACACTTTACTTTGTGGCAACCCCGCACTTGTCACCAGACATTTTACTTGGTAGCGACCCCGCACTAGTCAGCAGGCACTTTACTTGAGGCGCCCCCGCACTAGTCAGCAGACACTTTACTTGGTAGCGACCCCGCACTAGTCAGCAGACACTTTACTTGGTGGCAACTCTGCACTAGTCAGCAGACACTTNGGCGACCCCGTACTTGTCACCAGACACTTTACTTGGTGGCGACCCCTTACTAGTCAGCAGACACTTTACTTGGTGGTGACCCCGTACTAGTCAGCAGACACTTTACTTGGTAGCGACCCCGCACTAGTCAGCAGGCACTTTACTTGGTAGCGACCCCGTAATAGTCAGCAGGCACTTTACTCGGTGGCGACCCCGCACCAGTCAGCAGGCATTTTACTTGGTGGCGACCCCGTACTAGTCAGCAGGCACTTTACTTGGTGGCGCCCCCGTACTAGTCAGCAGACACTTTACTTGGTGGCAACCCCGTACTAGTCAGCAGGCCCTTTACTTGGTGGCGACCCCGTACTAGTCAGCAGAAACTTTACTTGGTGGCAACCCCGTACTAGTCAGCAGGCACTTTACTTGGTGGCAACCCCGCACTTGTCACCAGACATTTTACTTGGTGGCAACCCCGTACTAGTCAGCAGGCACTTTACTTGGTGGCAACCCCGCACTAGTCAGCAGACACTTTACTTTGTGGCAACCACGCACTAGTCAGCAGACACTTTAATCTGTGGCAACCCCGCACTACTCAGCAGACATTTTACTTGGGGTTTACCCCGTACTAGTCAGCAGGCACTTTACCTGGTGGCACCCCGTACTAGTCAGCAGACACTTTACTTGGTGGTAGTGAGAGGCCGGAATCACTACATAGTCCGTTAGTCAGTCCGTTAACTTTTCCTTCCCTTGTCAACACTTTTAATATACGGTACAGCTCGTAAAGGTTCGTGATTCAGAATCGTAAATGTATTTTAGTTGAGGACTATGCTCTTACATTGTCCCCAAACACAGTTTACGTACAAATGTTGGGAAGTTATGGTTGTGACACAGTATTCGGAAATAGATACAGAATGTTACTATTTCTGTTCTAGGCTAATCTATTCCTTCTTTGCGTATTGCAGAGTTATCTTCTCTTGGGAGCAGGTATTGATTGTTACGTCATTGGTTTGTGCAAGAAAATTACGTCGTTTTCTCAAAAATTGATGACGTTACTCTCACAAACAAGTGACGTAACAATCAATCCCTGCCCCCAAGAGAAGATAACTCTGCAATACGCAAAGACGGAATACACGTTATCATATTTCCTGTTCTAAATCAGTGTTTTATTGGAAGTATGTGTCTGGACACGGACTAATTAAACAAATGTATTTGTATTTATGATATATAAATATGTATTAACGGTACGTGTTACATAATGCGTAAGACGGCATCTGACCGAGGAATCTTCTGTAAAACATTCAAGGTCAGTGTCGCGTTTTAAATATCATCCATTTACAGATCGATGGTTAAAAAAGCACGCCTTTATCTTCATAATAGCTAGAAAAAACCCCGAATAGGGGCAGTAGTGTAACATCACTCCAATATACATATATATAATTCACTCGAAGCTTAAGGTCTTACTTTAGAAATCACCAAACCAGTTTCCACTAACTTATACACTTTACGTGGATAACGACCTTTCTAATTTACATATAAATTTACGCTGTACTGTATGACTATATACGGGTGTTATTTTGTTTTAGGTTGCCGTTGTTTCAAGGTGCCGCTTTTGAGTATGTTGTACCGTTGTTGGCCCTTCAAACGTTGGATCCGGACAGATGTCATATCGTCCAAGTATCAGGTGGGTTACCCGCTCATACAGTAGCGAGTTGTTAGTCCTACAGTGTCATCTGTAAATACAATAATTGATGTCATGCAATATCCAAGTATAAATGTTTCATACAACTTTTTGTGTTCAGTTTGGCATGCGATTTTCAGTGTTAATATTTCCCAGACTTGTGGCGTGAATATGTCACGACTGCCGTGTTTATATCGACTGTTGGCGTGAATATGTCACGACTGCCTGTTTATATCGACTTTTGGCGTGAATATGTCACGACTGCCGTGTTTATATCGACTGTTGGCGTGAATATGTCACGACTGCCTGTTTGAATAGTAACTGTTGATATTCATACAAATGGTATGGGATGATGTTTCGCAACGACCTGCCTCTTCTACCATGTTTGTATCCAATATATATTTTTGTCTTAAAGAAAAAGAAATCAATTCGTTTCACAATCGTCTGTTTTCAGAGTATGACGTAATGAACTGATGTGTTTTTTCTTTCTCCTTATAGAACAGACCGTTTTTAATGAGATGACAGGCCAGAACGCGACTGTCTTGGTCAACACGACAATGGACGCGGACCAGGTCATCCTGACTAACACGCAAAGTGTAGGTCTATTTTAGCTTCCTGTAAATAATGTACATGTACCGACCCACTGAAGGCCAGCAGGCATTGACACCGGTACCATGACTTGTATTCTTCAGCAAACATCACACCGTGTAAAGGTGTATACTTTAATATATGTGGTACAGAACAACTCTTTATTCCATGGCACACGCTGCTGTTATTAAATTAGATGGTTTTAATGTGTACTATATGACATGTGGTGACAGACTAGTCACTTCAAATGGCAGTAGATCGAACACGACTCCAATCATCTGTCGTGTTTCTAACCAGGAATGAAACATGTGTTGACTTTTACTATCTTTTTTTTATGGTATAAAAAGGTTTGTTTACATGTTTTCCATACATGGCTGAATATATAGATGTTTACTGTAAAATATAGTAAAAGGTAGCACTTAATTAGTTACTTGAGTTGTAAGAGCAGTTATAACCAGCTGGCACGCACTTCCGTGTGTATACATGTACATGTAGGTATTAACCTCTGTGTATACATGAAGGTATTTACCTCTGTGTGTATATACATGTAGGTATTTACCTCTGTCTGTAAACATGTAGGTATTTACCCCTGTGTGTTAATACATGTAGGTATTTACCTCTGTGTGTAAACATGTAGGTATTTACCTCTGTGTGTATACATGTAGGTAATTACTTCTGTATGTATTTACCTCTGTGTGTATATACATGTAGGTAATTACTTCTGTGTGTATACATGTAGGTAATTACTTCTGTGTGGATACATGTAGGTAATTACTTCTGTGTGTATACATGTACGTAATTACTTCTGTGTGTATACATGTAGGTAATAACTTCTGTGTATATACATATAGGTAATTACTTCTGTGTGTATACATGTAGGTAATAACTTGTGTGTGTATACATGTAGGTAATTACTTCTGTGTATATACCTGTAGGTAATTACTTCTGTATGTATTTACCTCTGTGTGTATATACGTGTAGGTAGTTGTATATTCATGTAGGTAATTACTTCTGTGTATATACATGTAGGTAATAACTTCTGTGTATATACATATAGGTAATTACTTCTGTGTATATACATGTAGGTAATAACTTGTGTGTGTATACATGTAGGTAATAACTTCTGTGTATATACATATAGGTAATTACTTCTGTGTATATACATGTAGGTAATAACTTGTGTGTGTATACATGTAGGTAATAACTTCTGTGTATATACATGTAGGTAATAACTTCTGTGTGTATACATGTAGGTAATTACTTCTGTGTGGATACATGTAGGTAATTACTTCTGTGTGTATACATGTACGTAATTACTTCTGTGTGTATACATGTAGGTAATACCTTCTGTGTGTATACATGTAGGTAATACCTTCTGTGTGTATACATGTAGGTAATACCTTCTGTGTGTATACATGTAGGTAATAACTTCTGTGTATATACATATAGGTAATTACTTCTGTGTGTATACATGTAGGTAATACCTTCTGTGTGTATACATGTAGGTAATACCTTCTGTGTGTATACATGTAGGTAATACCTTCTGTGTGTATACATGTAGGTAATAACGTCTGTGTATATACATGTAGGTAATTACTTCTGTATGCATTAACCTCTGTGTGTATATACGTGTAGGTAGTTGTATATTCATGTAGGTAATTACTTCTGTGTATATACATATAGGTAATTACTTCTGTGTATAAACATGTAGGTAATAACTTGTGTGTATATACATGTAGGTAATTACTTCTGTGTTATACATGTAGGTAATTACTTCTGTATGTATTTTCCTCTGTGTGTATATACATGTAGGTATTTACCTCTGTCTGTAAACATGTAGGTATTTACCCCTGTGTGTTAATACATGTAGGTATTTACCTCTGTGTGTAAACATGTAGGTATTTCCCTCTGTGTGTATACATGTAGGTAATTACTTCTGTATGTATTTACCTCTGTGTGTATATACGTGTAGGCAATTGTATATACATATAGGTAATTACTTCTGTGTATATACATGTAGGTAATAACTTGTGTGTGTATACATGTAGGTAATTACTTCTGTGAGTATACATGTAGGTAATAACTTCTGTGTGTATACATGTAGGTTATTACTTCTGTGTGTATACATGTAGGTAATTACTTCTGTGTGTATACATGTAGGTAATAACTTCTGTGTGTATTCATGTAGGTAATAACTTGTGTGTGTATACATGTAGGTAATTACTTCTATGTATATACATGTAGGTAATAACTTCTGTGTGTATTCATGTAGGTAATAACTTGTGTGTGTATACATGTAGGTAATAACTTCTGTGTGTATTCATGTAGGTAATAACTTCTGTGTGTATTCATGTAGGTAATAACTTCTGTGTGTATTCATGTAGGTAATAACTTCTGTGTGTATTCATGTAGGTAATAACTTCTGTGTGTATTCATGTAGGTAATAACTTCTGTGTGTATACATGTAGGTAATAACATCTGTGTGTATACATGTAGGTAATAACATCTGTGTGTATACATGTAGGTAATAACTTCTGTGTGTATTCATGTAGGTAATAACTTCTGTGTGTATTCATGTAGGTAATAACTTCTGTGTGTATACATGTAGGTTATTACTTCTGTGTGTATACATGTAGGTAATAACATCTGTGTGTATACATGTAGGTAATATCTTCTGTGTATATACATGTAGGTAATAACTTGTGTGTGTATACATGTACGTAATAACTTCTGTGTATATACATGTAGGTAATAACTTCTGTGTGTATACATGTAAGTAATACCTTCTGTGTGTATACATGTAGGTAATACCTTCTGTGTGTATACATGTAGGTAATAACATCTGTGTGTATACATGTAGGTAATAACATCTGTGTGTATACATGTAGGTAATAACATCTGTGTGTATACATGTAGGTAATATCTTCTGTGTATATACATGTAGGTAATAACTTGTGTGTGTATACATGTAGGTAATAACTTCTGTGTGTATACATGTAGGTAATTCCTTCTGTGTGTATACATGTAGGTAATTCCTTCTGTGTGTATACATGTAGGTAATTACTTCTATGTATATACATGTAGGTAATAACTTCTGTGTATATACATGTAGGTAATAACTTGTGTGTGTATACATGTAGGTAATTACTTCTATGTATATACATGTAGGTAATAACTTCTGTGTATATACATGTAGGTAATAACTTCTGTGTGTATACATGTAGGTTATTACTTCTGTGTGTATACATGTAGGTAATTACTTCTGTGAGTATACATGTAGGTAATAACTTCTGTGTGTATTCATGTAGGTAATAACTTCTGTGTGTATACATGTAAGTAATACCTTCTGTGTGTATACATGTAGGTAATTCCTTCTGTGTGTATACATGTAGGTAATTCCTTCTGTGTGTATACATGTAGGTAATTACTTCTATGTATATACATGTAGGTAATAACTTCTGTGTGTATTCATGTAGGTAATAACTTCTGTGTGTATACATGAAGGTAATTACTTCTGTGTATATACATATGGGTAATTACTTCTGTGTATCTACATCTAGGTAATTACTTCTGTGTGTATACATGTACGTAATAACTTCTGTGTATATACATGTAGGTAATAACTTCTGTGTGTATTCATGTAGGTAATAACTTCTGTGTGTATACATGTAGGTTATTACTTCTGTGTGTATACATGTAGGTAATTCCTTCTGTGTGTATACATGTAGGTAATTACTTCTGTGTATATACATATGNTGCTTTGTGACAGATAATGTCCAGGTTATGTAAGATACATAGTGCTTTGTGACAGATAATGTCCATGTTATGTAAGATACTGGTGCTTTGTGACAGATAATGTCCAGGTTATGTAAGATACATAGTGCTTTGTGACAGATAATGTCCATGTTATGTAAGATACTGGTGCTTTGTGACAGATAATGTCCAGGTTATGTAAGATACATAGTGCTTTGTGACAGATAACATGTAGGTAATTACTTCTGTGTATATACATGTAGGGAATAACTTCTGTGTGTATACATGTAGATAATAACTTCTGTGTGTGTATACATGTAGGTAATAACTTCTGTGTGTATTTACCTCTGTGTGTATATACATGTAGGTAATAACTTCTGTGTGTATACATGTAGGTAATAACTTCTGTGTGTATACATGTAAGTAATTACTTCTGTGTATATATACACATACTAGCTTTCATGTGTTCCCCGTAAATATCGTTCCTGACCTGTTCCTTATTCCTCTCACACTGGCTTACATGTGTTCCCCATTAATATTGTTCCTGACCTCTGCCTTATTCCTCTCACACTGGCCTTTATATGTTCCCCGAAAATATCCTTCCTGACCTCTGCTTTATTCCTCTCACACTGGCTTACATGTGTTCCCCGTAAATATCATTCTGACCTGTTCCTTATTCCTATCACACTATCTTTCATATGTTCCCCATAAATATCCTACCTGAGCTCTGCCTTATTCCTATCACACTGGCTTACATGTGTTCCCCGTAAATATCCTACCTGATATCTGCCCTATTCCTATCACACTGGCTTACATGTGTTCCCCATTAATATCCTACCTGATATCTGCCCTATTCCTCCCACACTGGCTTTCATATGTTCCCCGTAAATATCATTCTGACCTGTTCCTTATCCCTATCACACTATCTTTCATATGTTCCCCATAAATATCCTACCTGAGCTCTGCCTTATTCCTATCACACTGGCTTACATGTGTTCCCCGTAAATATCCTACCTGATATCTGCCCTATTCCTATCACACTGGCTTACATGTGTTCCCCATTAATATCCTACCTGATATCTGCCCTATTCCTCCCACACTGGCTTTCATATGTTCCCCGTAAATATCATTCTGACCTGTTCCTTATCCCTATCACACTATCTTTCATATGTTCCCCATAAATATCCTACCTGAGCTCTGCCTTATTCCTATCACACTGGCTTACATGTGTTCCCCGTAAATATCCTACCTGATATCTGCCCTATTCCTATCACACTGGCTTACATGTGTTCCCCATTAATATCCTACCTGATATCTGCCCTATTCCTCTCACACTGGCTTACATGTGTTCCCCGTAAATATCCTTCCTGACCTCTGCCTTATTCCTATCACACTGGCTTACATGTGTTCCCCGTAAATATCCTTCCTGACCTCTGCCTTATTCCTATCACACTGGCTTACATGTGTTCCCCATTAATATCCTACCTGACATCTGCCCTATTCCTCTCACACTGGCTTACATTATTCCCCTAATATACTTAACTAAAGGAACTTCAAACAATCGGTAAAAGGTAGATTTGCTACCTGTCTGCGACACAATGTTATACTGACAAATTGTTATAGTTGGAAGTCAAAATTACAATATGTACAGTTTGGGAATTAACTTTTGCATTTAAAATTAATCACCCATTGCACTGTGATTTTTACTTGCTGATTTTTGGGTTCTGTGTTTCAGCTGATGGGAAGTCTGATGGTGGCGGGTTTTATCCACTTCCTGATAGGGGCCACTGGACTGGTCGGCTTTCTACTTCGCTTTGTGGGCCCTGTGACTATTGTACCAACTATACTCCTTATAGGGTTGTACATGACCAGGACGGCCGTCAAGTTTATAGAGGTTCACTGGGGTATAGGGCTTATGTAAGTACATCGTGAACTATGTATCAATGTACAAGGCAACACGGGAATTGTTCGGTTGTTCAGAGTGAGGCAACATGGGGGTTGTTCGCATCGGTTGTTCAGAGTGAGTTGTATACATCCGGCTGTACTTTGAGTAATTTTATGTTAAACGACCCATTGATGGTAATTGTGATTAGATTTAGATATGATTATACCAGTCCGTCGTTCTTTGATTGTCTTACTTTCATTCCAGGACGACAGCTATATCCCTGCTTTTGTCCCTCTATCTTGGACGATTTAAACTGCCAATTCCGGTCTGGACTCGGAAACGAAGCTGTCACGTGATCAGATATCCTCTTCACCAAGTATTTGCTGTAGGTTTGAGTTAAACATCCCAATGAGCTTATGTTATGGCATGTATGTTTGTCAGTCGTCGCCTATTTTTCGTCGTTGAGTCGAAATTGGTCATTGATATTCGCTTTCTACCCTCACTACCAACCATTTGTATCCTCCATTTGTGTCCGGTCAATGTTACAGCTTCTGATCGGTATGATGGTGGGCTGGGCGGTCAGTGGAGTGTTCACGGCCTGTGGACTGTTCAGTGATGACCCTAATGACCTTCAGTATAAGGCCCGTACCGATATTAACCATGATATCGTCACTAACGCTAGCTGGTTCTACTTCCCACATCCAGGTAGGTGTCAATAACAGATAATTACCTTAAATTATATTTTATTTCAGTCGGATACTAAAGTAAGTAAACAGGTAGTGTTTCATCAACTTGTGTGATATAGTTAACCATTTCTCTCCTAATTTGGAGATTCAAACTTTATTCTCTCATCATCTACATGTAGGTAGTAGATTTTAATCCTTGACCATATTAGACCTACCTTCAATCCTTGACCATGTAAGACCTACCTTCAATCCTTGACCATGTAAGACCTACCTTCAATCCTTGACCATGTTAGACCGACCTTCAATCCTTGACCATAGTTGGTCTACCTTCAATCCTTGACCATAGTCGGTCTACCTTCCATCATTGACCATGTCATTAGTTCTACCGTTATTCATTGAGCATCTAAGTAGGTTTACCTACCATTCCTGGCCATGTTAGTAGGTCTACCTTCAATCCTTGGACCACGCTAATAGCTCGACTTTCGACACGAGCCATTTTCTCAGCTTTTTGTTTTCTTTTGTTTAACGTTCTATTAACAGCTAAGGACGTGGCATCATGTGTGTTATATATGCGTGTATGTGTGTATGTGTGTTGGAGACAGGGTATGTTGTTGTGATTGCCTCCTTGCGATAGCGCGGATCTGATGCCGACTTTATAGTACTATCTTACTGAAATACCATGCCGAAGGCACCCAGCACAGCATTCCGCTCGGTCAAATAATACTGACAACAGGTGAACAAGTTGACAATACCCTTAAACTTGAACGTATAAGCAGGGAATATCCACTACAATTTTTAAGGAATTTTGTATAACCTGGCCTGGGGAAAAGACCCATTGCCTTCTGTACCTCCTGGGCGAACGATCAACATTAACTCATTCACCCCTGAAGCTTCATAATGAACTATTCCAACCTTTGAATTGGAGGAGTTCAAATGTGTCTTCAGCGGTGAACGAGTTAAAGCCAAAAGTGAGGTATTGCCAAGCAAGGAGCTAGGAAATAATAGGTAGTTAGAAATAGAAAGAAATATAAAGATTTATTTTGGTCGCTTCTGTGTCCCCAAGAAGAGGACACAAAAGCAACTCCTTAATTCTGCAAGGGGTTCCAACATTAGTCACCTCTCCTACGATACATGCAGTTCTCGATCCCCGACCTGCAGGGTGCGTTTTATAAGACTTGCCTTCGATCATTGACTTTGTTGTACGTTCGAACTTCTGTCGTAGACTTAGTACTTAGTAAAACAAATATGATGTTCAAGAACAAATGTATATCCTCGTTTAATTTACTGTTACAGTGGTATTTCCAAAAAGGTGCCAAAATTAAAAAGAGATAGGGTCACTCTTTCGCTGAAATAATTATTGCTGTATCTGTTCCGTTACTAGACAGTTATATTTTATATCTCGACTGTTACAGGACAGTTTGGCCTCCCCGGCTTCAACGTCAGTGTGTTTGCCGGTTTTATGCTGGCTACTGTGATTTCTATCTTGGACTCCATTGGGGATTATTACGCTTGCGCAAAGACGTGCAACGCTCCACCACCTCCATCACACGCCATCAACAGGGGCATCGCGGTGGAGGGTCTGTGTACGTTAATATCTGGAGTGGTCGGATGTGGTCACGCCACTTCAACGTACGGCGGCAACGTGGGCGCCATCGGCATCACAAAGGTACCTTACTTGATGTTCAAGCAGGACTCCAAAACGGGTTTAGTGGGTATCAGCTGGTGTCAACGCTACCAAAATCAAAGTATATGACAATAGGCAAACAATAACTCGAAGTATCCCATTTTATACTTTTACGTTAATTAGTGGAATTCAATTTTGTACATGTCTTATTTCAGGTTGGAAGCAGGCAGGTGTTCCTTCTCACCGGTATAATCTACATCGTCTTCGGTTTGATAGGGAAGTTTTCAGCTGTCTTCATCACCATTCCTTACCCCGTTCTAGGGGGCGCTCTAGTTGTCATGTTCGGAATGTTTATTGGTGTGGTTTTGTCCAATCTCCAGTACGTTAGTCTTACGTCCACTCGGAACATTGCTATCATCGGAACCTCCATATTGTTTGGTCTCATGGTACCTTATTGGGTGGAACAAAACCCCAACGGAATAGATACAGGTATGTAATACAAGATATTCCTTTGCGCTCAGTTTAGTCATGTTGGCTACTAGATAAGTAATGAAAACCAACATCTTTGCAATAACATTACATATATAATGTATTCTTATCACTTTTAGCTCAAAGTTTGATCATGAGAGCTTTTGTTTCCGGCCTTCCTCCGTCATCCTGCATCGTCCGTCATCCGTTCACAATTTGGACATTTTCGACTTCCCCTCAAGACCATTACTGAAACAATTGGCTCAAAGCACAGTACAGATGTCCCTTCACGGTTACAACATAGTGTTGTACCTTTTTGTTTTGAACTGAACATCTAAGATGGCCGCCTTAGTCACTGTTTTGCTAAACAAGTTTTCTTCTTCTCTAGAACTACTTAAACAGTTAATTCTAATCCTAGTACAAATCTGCCCGATGATGTCCTGAGCTAGTGTTGTTGCTTTCCCAATAAATCTGAAAATCCCACGTCGGCATTGTTGACTTAATCTCAAGCATGACTACAGGGATTGACTTCAGACTTGGTATACATGTAACGTATGAATCCCCAATCAAGTGCTTTTAAGTTCGGTGACGAAAAAAACAATCAAACATGGCAGTCCTGGCCTCTGATCGGCTAGGTTTTTTTCGATTTCTTTCCAAGAAGATGCGGAAGATGTTTCCAAACTATTCACCTACGTTTCTGCCGAGACACCCATCAAAGACGGACGACCTTGCCTCTAAATACCTGCGACATTATTTTAATTCTTCTCTAGAACAGAAGCAACGATTGATTTCAATTTCTTTACAAAGCATAAGGCAATTGAAGTACATATGAGCGATAAGACCCAACGGTCTCTTGTTTATTTAGAGAACGATTTATCAAACAGACTTTTACGATTCTTACTCTATTTCACTTGGCCTATCGACCAGAAACAGGCGGATGTGACGTAAACAATGATAAGGTACAGGGACGTCTAGGCCAGTTGTCGTTTGTACTTGTGAACAGATCAATCGAGAAATGTTCATTTCAGTTCAAACATTATAATTAGGTCATTGATTGTTTTTGGGATCGGATGGATTTTTCGTTCACGATTTACTAATTAGTGGTTAGGATCAAACATATATACAGTAAAAAAAAATTAAAAAAAGTATTGCATTTTCTTGCCTTTTATGTATTCTTGTATGTTTTATTATCATATTTTAATATTAATGTAATGGAAATATGTTAATTAAATCTTTATACAATGTAATGCTAATGTAATGCTAATGTTTTGTTAGAAACATACAATGTTACTTACCTCGGTCTGGAAATATAGTATTTGTCAAATAGCTGTGAATGAAGATATTGAAAATTACGACGTGATTGTGTGTTTAATAGAGATATTTCGGTTGATTGTGTGTTTAATAGAGATATTTCGGTTGATTGTGTGTTTAATAGAGATATTTCGGTTGATTGTGTGTTTAATAGAGATATTTCGGTTGATTGTGTGTTTAATAGAGATATTTCGGTTGATTGTGTGTTTAATAGAGATATTTCGGTTGATTGTGTGTTTAATAGATATATTACGGTAGATTGTGTGTTTAATAGAGATATTTCGGTTGATTGTGTGTTAAATATAGATATTACAGTAGGTTGTGTGTTTAATAAAGATATTGCGGTAGATTGTGTGTTAAATACAGATATTACGGTGAATGGTGTGTTTGATATAGATATTACGATAGATTGTGTGTTTTATTGAGATATAACGGTGGATTTTCTGATCCGTAGGTAACCCCGACACAGACCGTGTGCTGAGAGTGATCCTTGGTAACGCTAACTTCGCGGGAGCCGTGTTGGCGTGTTTCCTTGACAACACTATTCCAGGTAATAATTACTAGTGACGTGTGTGCATGCTTATTTGAATCTCTTCTCTATAATTAAGTTACAAACGATATCACCATGAACAGATATTTCAAATCCAGCTTAAGATTGGAAAGATATACTTTTTTTTCAATTCTTTCATTAATTTATTTAAAATTTATTCATTTATTCATTAAAATCATTAATCGTGAAAAATTAGACATCCGTGAGATATTATAATCGATTATTGCCATCTTTTTAAGGAACATAAAAGTATTTCTGTGTCCCTGGTAGGTCTCCAATGAAAGCCCCATGCGTGGTTATATGTTATCGACCTAGGTATTACCAGCCTTACATGGATTCCTAACACGAGTACGGCATTTAAGATTTCTTTAACATTATATGCACAAAACATAATCATATTGTTTTAAGGGGGGGTTACTGCACAGGCTGTGAACTATATATATTATTTGAAATCGGCGACTCACGAAGATAGGATCAATCCTTTTGGACAAGATTCAATAGTGATGTCCCTTCTTTTTTATTGACAATGGGCGGCGGGCCTTTTAACGTGTAGCGTTGCAACGCCTGGTATCTATTGTTCGTACATTGTAGTATGTGATAAGTCCTTGTTCAGAGGGAGAGTTCTTTCTACCTTCTATTGTTGTTGGGATGTTCTTTTGTCAAGGTTTCATTGAAATATTTCTACAATTCTGTTGTACATATTGTTTGGGTCATCTTCTATTATCCTCGTAATCACTTTTCCTATTACATTATTACTCGTAATCACCTTTCCTATTACAATGTACCATCGTCATCACTTTTCCTATTAAAATGTACCCTCATAATCACCTTTCCTATTAAAATGTACCCTCATAATCACCTTTCCTATTACAGTGTATCCTCGTAATCACCTTCCCTATTACAGCGTACCCTCGTAATCACCTTTCCTATTACAGTGTGCCCTCGTAATCACCTTTCCTATTACAGTGTACCCTCGTTATCACCTTTCCTATTACAGTGTACCCTCGTAATCACCTTTCCTATTACAGTGTACCCTCGAAATCACCTTTCCTATTACAGTGTACCCTCGTTATCACCTTTCCTATTACAATGTACCCTCGTTTTCACCTTTCCTATTACAATGTACCCTCGTTATCACATTTCCTATTACAATGTACACTCATAATCACCTTTCCCATTACAATGTACCCTCATAATCACCTTTCCTATTACAGTGTACCCTCGTAATCACCTTTCCTATTACAATGTACACTCGTAATCACCTTTCCTATTACAATGTTCCCTCGTAATCACCTTTCCTAATACAATGTGCCCTCGTAATCACCTTTCCTATTACAATGTACCCTCGTAATCACCTTTCTTATTTCAATGTACTCTCATAACCACCTTTTATATTACAATGTACCCTCATAACCACCTTTCCTATTACGATGTAACCTCGTAATCACCTTTCCTAATACAGTATACCCTCGTAACCACCTTTCATGTTACAATATCACCTTGTCATTACAATGTTTCCTCGTTATCACCCTTCCTATTACCATGTACCATCGAAATCACCTTTTTTGCATACCCCCGTTATAAAGGTTACTGTTGCTGTATGTAGACATTTAGCTACTTCATTTTTTCATCAAAGTTTATATAGATTTCAGGTACTCGAATACCTCGGATGAAAAACACCAAAATTCATTTAACATGGCGACGGGGGCATTCTTGTCTGACAGGCATTTATTAGATTTTTAAGTTTTGTTGCAGCTGTCTAACCATTTTCAATCATTGTATCTCACGATGCTATCAAGACTCATTTTTATCTCGCCAAACATTTCGAGGGGAAAACACCAAATTCAATTATCTTTTACTTTTGCAGCCACGAAAGAAGAAAGGGGGATCACCGCGTGGCAGAACGTGGTAAAGCATAAAGCTAAAGAGGATCCACACCAAGGCAAGGAGGAAATATATGAGGAATCTATAGACATTTACGAACCATTGCTTCCAAAGGCGTGGAGAAAACATTATATTCTCAAATACATACCATTTTTACCGGATCCTGACGAATACAACATTGTCAGTGATTGTGCCTGTTCGTCTCCGACAAAGTGCTCCTGTAAAGACATTAAGTTGGAGACGGCCTCGTTATGAGGGTACACTTCTACTTTAGGGATCCCGTAAACTCATTTAGATTGTATACCATATCATCGAACGCCAAAAGTTGTTTTTATTTATTTAAATCATTAATCAAAATTGGATATTTATTAAATGTAATATTTACCAAAACAAATTAAATCCGAAATCGGTATTTGAATAATGTATGAGATTAGATTTTATATTTGTCAAGATGATCTTAACTTAACATTCGGTTAACTGTTTAACTAAACAGACGTCAATTAGCTTATTTTAATTTATATCTGGATCCGAAACCTGCTGAAACGATTCATTCCGTTCAAACGTTTCTTATTTTAGAACATATGTTTATAATGTTTGCTCGACTCTGGGGCCATTTTATTAGAATCGGTTGATAAGTTGTTATTGTTATCATATCCTTTGACTGATTGTGTTCGAATGATTTTACTTTTGACAAGTATTAAGAATTGAGTGTGTTCAGTTGGCTGTAATTTCAACATACACCAAGGAATAAGTGTGTTGTTGGGGATACAACCTCTAACGAGTTTGTTTTGCAAGGGAGGAATTTGGAAGTAATCATGCTAATACAACATAGTCATTAACTTGACATTCATAAATCAACAGTAAATTTGAATGTAACTGAAACTTGTAGCACTTTCTTTGTGTGAAATGTTTCCAATATATAGGTTTGCTAATGTGATTCATGTAAACAAAGCGAGTTGTCAGAACGCTCGTCAATATCATCTCTATATGGTACTTCTTACTATAACATTTTACCTTATTGTAGATGGTTCCCTAGAGAAAACACAAAATGCTCTTACAAAAATCAAAATCATGCAATCATAATCGAAATATCTCAAAATATTATAGAATACGTAAACGTAATTGTGTTGACAACATTACATAAATGCATTTAATTACAGCTTGTTAAGTTGGCCTTGTTACATTGTGATTAGTTGTGTTTATAACATCACATTATGTTGATAGTTTTGGTTTGCTTAACTATTCGGTAGATACCTATGTTTTCCGAAATAAACGATTCAAGATATTCGGTTCTAGACAGGACAACATCTACATGTATTACCCGGATCGGTCTGCTTCCAAAATAATTACATGTATGTTAGATCACTAACCAAGTGCGTTTTTGTATAGAATTAGTATCAACACTCAAATACCAATTACTGTTCTATTTACTTTCGTAGCATTATTATTTATAGCACTTCAGAAAGCAATTCCTTGTCACATTCCTCTAGAGGGTAAATGTTAAAGGAAGCCGTTTATTAAAGGTTGATATGCATTCCTTTAGAAGAAGTGGGTTATTGGGTCCTCAAAAAGGTTGCAGGTTTAGCAACCCCTGTACATGATGATAGTTTTGCAGATGTAAAAATGCTGGGTTTTGTTAAACATATTATTGTGTCTGCAATCCATATCAAATATTGGGTTATGTTATCATTATTAAATACTGGGTTCTGTAATCCTAATAAAGTACTGGGTTATGAAATCCATATTAATTACTGGGTTCGGTAAACCATATTTATTACAGGGTTCGATAATCCTTATTAATTACTGGGTTCTGTAATTCTTATTAAATACTGGGTTCTGTAATCCATGTTGATTACTGGGTTCTGTAATCCATATTAAATACTCGGTTATGTAATCCTTATTAAATACTGGGTTCTGCAATCCTTATTAAATACTGGGTTATGTAATCCTTATTAATTACTGGGTTCTTCAATCCTTATTAAATACTCGGTTCGGTAACCATATGTATTACAGGGTTCGGTAATCCTTATTAAATACTGGGTTCTGCAATCCTTATTAAATACTGGGTTCGGTAACCATATTTATTACAGGGTTCGGTAATCCTTATTAATTACTGGGTTCTGCAATCCTTATTAAATACTGGGTTATGTAATCCTTATTAATTACTGGGTTCTGCAATCCTTATTAAATACTGGGTTCGGTAACCATATTTATTACAGGGTTCGGTAATCCTTATTTAATACTGGGTTCTGCAATCCATATAAAATACTAGGTCCTGCGATGCTGATAAAATACATGGTTCGGAAATCAACATCCAATACTTGATCCTGTGATCCTTATAAAAAACTGGTTTCTGTAATCCATGTAAACGTTGTTGGTCATTTGATCCCTATAAAATACTGAGATCTGTGATCCCTTTAAAATGGGTTTTATAATCCATATACTGGAGCTTTTTTTCAGTAATTAGATCTGGAATATGTTCCCATTTTGTCTACTCGCATTGTGTATTTGATTTCTCGTGTCGTGCTATGATATTATGTATATTTTGCTGATATATTGAAAATGCTTTTTGTTTAGTTTTTAACATTTTTATATGTCTGTTAATATTTTTCTTTAGAGAAACTTTTATTAACTGGTAACAGTTAATACATCATTCGCATAGTACTGCAGTACACAGACCAGTATACAATTTACTAATTAGTCACGAAAAACAAACAAGTACACACTGTTCTAAATATACACACTATTCTAAATATATACTCTGTTCTTAATATACACACTGTTCTAAATATACACACTGTCCTAAATATTCACACTGTTCTGAATATACACACTGTTCTTAATATACACACTGTTCTAAATATAAACACTATTCTTAATATACACTCTGTTTTAAATATATACACTATTCTAAATATACAAACTGTTTTAAATATATACTCTGTTCTTAATATACACACTGTTCTAAATATAAACACTATTCTTAATATACACACTGTTCTCAATATACACACTGTCCTAAATATTCACTCTGTTCTAATATACACACTGTCCTAAATATTCACTCTGATCTAAATATACACACTGTCCTAAATATTCAAACTGTTCTAATTATACACACTGTTCTTAATATACACTGTTCTAAACAAACACACTGTTCTTAATATACACACTGTGCTAAATATAAACACTATTCTTAATATACACTCTGTTTTAACTATATACACTATTCTAAATATACAAACTGTTTTAAATATATACCCTGTTCTTAATATACACACTGTTCTAAATATACCCACTGTCCTAAATATTCACACTGTTCTGAATATACGCACTGTTCTTAATATACACACTGTTCTTAAGATACACACTGTTCTAAACATACACACTATTCTTAATATACACACTGATTTAAATACACACACTATTCTAAATATAAACACTATTCTTAATATACACACTGTTCTAAATATACCCACTGTCCTAAATATTCACACTGTTCTGAATATACGCACTGTTCTTAATATACACACTGTTCTTAAGATACACACTGTTCTAAATAAACACACTGTTCTTAATATACACACTGTTCTTAAGATACACACTGTTCTAAACATACTCACTATTCTTAATATACACACTGTTCTCAATATACACACTGTCCTAAATATTCACTCTGTTCTAAATATATACACTGTCCTAAATATTCACACTGTTCTGAATATACACACTGTTCTTAATATACACACTGTGCTAAATATAAACACTATTCTTAATATACACTCTGTTCTAAATATATACACTATTCTAAATATACAAACTGTTTTAAATATATACCCTGTTCTTAATATACACACTGTTCTAAATATACACGCTGTCCTAAATATTCACACTGTTCTGAATATACACACTGTTCTTAATATACACACTGTTCTTAAGATACACACTGTTCTAAACATACTCACTATTCTTAATATACACACTGTTCTAAATATACACGCTGTCCTAAATATTCACACTGTTCTGAATATACGCACTGTTCTTAATATACACACTGTTCTTAAGATACACACTGTTCTAAACATACACACTATTCTTAATATACACACTGTTCTCAATATACACACTGTTGTAAATATATACACTGTTCTAAATACACACACTATTCTTAATGTACACACTGTTCTAAATATACACACTGTTCTAAATAAACACACTGTTCTTAATATACACACTGTTCTAAATATACACACTGTTCTAAATAAACACACTGTTCTTAATATACACACTGTTCTTAAGATACACACTGTTCTAAACATACACACTATTCTTAATATACACACTGTTCTTAATATACACACTGTTCTAAATATACACACTGTTCTAAATATACGCACTATTCTAAATATACACACTGTTCTTAATATACACACTGTTCTAAATGAACACACTGTTCTTAATATACACACTGTTCTAAATATACACACTGTTTTAAATATACACACTGTTTTAAATATACACACTGTTCTAAATATACACCCTGTTCTAAATATACACACTGTTCTAAATACACACACTGTTTTAAATATACACACTGTTCTAAATTCACACACTGTTTTAAATATACACACTGTTTTAAATAGCCACCAAAAACAAACAAGAAAAAATAATACTACGTCTCTTTGTTTGTCACAGACTGCATATCATATTACTGATGTTAGTGGTGTCTTATTATTAAAATATTTTCACATTACATCATGCATTTTTGGAGCAGGTTAATATTTTGGGATTATTGGAAACAGTAAGAAAGATGTTGTATGTGTAGCAGTTATATAAGGTTTGTAACATTCCTTCATTTTAACGTAGTTTCTTCAACTATATTTTTTGGCTCGGTTTTGCTTATATTTACTACTTTTTCTAGGAATGCTGCACTTTTCAGCAAATATATGTCTCTTTAAATGCCTTCTCATTGTGTGGCGGACATTACTGGATGGGGCTCGTATCGTTGTACTGACAGGAGACTAAAAGTACCAAGTAAGACTTACTATAACAGGTATAACCTCATTGACATACCACGCACTATTGTTAGCACGGTAGGGGGTTTCTTCGTGAATTTTCTATCTTATTATTTATTTTGTATCATATTACTTACATAGGCCAAGGGTAGACTCTTTACTTCCGAATTCTATGAAATTCTAATGAATTGATTTCTATCGTCAACTTTATATAAGAGAGTTTGTTCGAAGTGTCACGACTTCCTTGATAAGTGCGTCTACGCATTAAAGCCATTCTGTTCTCTGTGAAGTATAACATATAGATAGATAGATTGACCAATTTCTGGATTATTATTTCAAGACTGCTCAACATGTGGTGCAAGAAACGCCTACCCATGCGGGACACTCGGTTTCGGTTCCGGTGTGTAGGAGTCGTGCTAATATTTCCCTTAGTTTTTATGTTTCTATGAGTCCTCTTGTCCTTTTGCATTTACTTTGAACTGCGATTTTGTCCTTGTGTGTAGACGCTGCGATATTTTATGTTTCACTAGCAGTGTAACATGTAAACATATTGTTAAACAATCTCAGGTGTCCTATTTATCATGTATATAAACTTATTTTAAAGCAAGGGCGTTATCACTCACATTAGTGTACATGTCAAAGTTTGAGATATTAATGTTATGCGCTGGTGCTAACAGTCCAAGCAATTCTAGTTACCTTTTTTTCATTTGATGACTAGTCAGTTAATGCATTCGTATATGCAGTAGATACATTTCTATTTTCAAAATATCTTCTACAAGGGTGAGCAATACGGAAATGCGTGTTTAATCACATGTTTTAATTTATCAATGAATCTCTACCGTAATCATCTTATTTTTAAACGTTATGTTATAAGTAATGAACTCATGTCTCGATTTCCTATGCTGTATAACTCATAAAATTGTTGCAATTAAGTTTTTCAGTATGGAAAGGGAGACAACTAAAGTACATATTTATCCTATTTACTCTTAATAATAAAGTATACGATATGTAAACATGATAGTGAAACATTTTTTTAAACGTTCACTGATTTTACAATGTTTTTGTATTATGTAATTATAAGCATAAACAAATATAAGTTTATACCTCGTTAACATGTGGTGATTCCGCAGAGACTGGCTTACCTGCCTTAGTATTGTTACTCATACACTAGGCGTCGCTCAGAAACCAAAACCTGGCGGGAAATAATTAAACTAAGGCAGATAATCCAGTCTATGAATATTTCAGTCAGTTTTGTGTAGTAAAAAAATGGAGACGAAATTCATTTGATTGCCCATTATTTGTGTTTGTAAAGACAATTACTCATTCTCGTTATTGTCATGAGACCAATCGGAATCAAGTTCGACTACAAGAACGTCATTAACATGTAAATGAAAACTGATATTAACACAAAAATAAAACATTTTTTGAAGACTTCCTGATATTTATCCAAAACAGTATTTACAACAAAAGTTGTAAATTTTTAGAAATTTCTCCAAAATTTAATTATGAATTAATGTTATGAAAAAAAAATATTTGCAATTTCGGAAATAATTTTTAACAGACAAATACAAAAATATTTGCAGATTTCCTGATATTTCTCTAAAATGTGATTTGACCATTAATATCAAAAAGAAATAAAACATTTTGCAGATTTTCGGATTCCCTCCAAAATTTAGTTTTGAAAAATAGTGTTAACAGAGAAATCGATATATCTTGCCACTTCCGTCACATTCACACTTAATCTTGTTATAATTTTACCAAGAATGTAATTAGTTACATATGTCAAAAATCTCACCAACCGAATGACATTGGTTATTTTCAGCGTATCACGGTGAATTGATATTGCAAAGTTGAAAATGTTCGCGTTGTGACCCTTTTGACTAATCACGTTGTGGATATTTTCACGTTGTGACCCTTTTAACTAATCACGTTGTTGATATTTTCGCATTGGCAAAAGTTCTGAAATCTAAATGTTTCATTTACCTATAATCTATAAATTAATATTGGGCTCGTTTTGCGTTAATTTACCCGACACGAAAAAATTAGAACACGTCTAAACCGCGAAAATGTCAACTTTTACTGCATAACTTGGTGCCTACATTGCATAATTGTAGTTGTGGAATACGTACATGATATGTACAGAATCTCAGCTCACTAAATACATATACGTGTACGTATCTTATACGACTATTCTAGTTAACTAGGATTTCAGAAAACTTGATTATTGTGATGAACGTGTGATATAATTGATGCAGCAATAATTGTAAAGCATGGGGAAGGATGCTTTGGCTTTATGCATAAATGATGTGAAATATGTCATGATAAATAGAACATAAAGATTAGATGATAGCCTTCATTTATTCTTCTGTGTATTATTATGTCATAACACCAACGTTATATATATTGATACTTTTATTTTAGTTGTGTTTTCCTCCTAAATGACCTATATATCCTCATCAGACTCTAATACATCGATCCCAACCGAGTGGGCCTTAAAGACTTCGAAGAGAACCTGCCGATTTCCCAAATGTCTGTCTAGACTAATTTTGAATGAGTTGACTGTTTTAGCAGTCAACAGAGGCTCCAGAAAACAGTTTCAAATCTGCACTACGTGGAGTGTGAAGGATGATTTTTTGCGTCTAATGTCTTGAACTTCTATCTATAAGTTAGTCGGGTCATGTCGCATTTAGGCCGAAGACACGATAATTATTGCTCTTTCCATTTGAGTCGTTCCAGACGACGAGATACCTAAGACCGTGTATTTGTTTTCACAAGACACTTGCACACAATAAGGCAAATCACCAAAAATGACGTCTGTGAAAGAACACGACCGACATATTTCTCATTGATATCATGATTGTGATCATAAATCTTGCTCAAGTCTTCGCCAACCTGCAAGTAGGTGAATATGGATGTATTGAGAACAAAGGGAACAATAGAAAGATTGCGGATCAAAG